GACCAGCCTGGCCAACATGGTGAAATCCCCTCTCTACTAAAAATACAAAAACTAGCCAGGCAGTGGTAGCACATGCCTGTAATCCCAGCTACTGGGAAGGCTGAGGGAGGAGAATCGTTTGAGTCTAGGAGGTATAGGTTGCAGTGAGCCAAGATCACCACTGTACTCTAGGCTGGGCGACAGAATGAGACCCTGTCTCAAAAAAGAGGAGAGAGAGAGAGAAAGAAAGAAAAAGAGAAAGAAAGAAAAAAAGAAAAAAAGATGGGGGTCTAGCTATATGGCCCAGGCTGGTCTCAAACTACTGGGCTCAAGTGATCCTCCTGCCTCAGCCTCCCAAAGTGCTGGGATTACAGGCATAAGCCACGGCGCCCAGCCAGCTATTTCTCACTAATTGGGTCTGCAACTAGGGGTTAGGGTGGCCAGGGACCCAGGTCGCCCATATCTGCAGCCCTGGACCCCAAAAGAGACAGGGAGTGAGGACTGTGACCATGAAAGTAATGCTGCCACCACCTTGTCGTGTGCTAACAACCACACGGGGATGTGACTCTTGTTCCTGTACCCAAGTCCCAGGTACAGTCATTGAGGCAGAGGGAGGAGGGTTGGCCCAGGCAGTTGTTGCTCCCCCATTCCAAGGTTTATGCCTACCGTCCTGCTGTGACAAACGAGTGTACACCCACAGAAGGAAGGCATAGGGTTGTGCGCAGGGGACGCGCTAATGCTAAAGGAGTGCACATCAGGAGAGAGGGACATCGCATGCCACATCATAGAGCTCACAGACACATAATAGGGCCTCCCTGCATCACGATTTTGGACACACAGCTAACTCTCCAACTCCCCGACTCACACCAAACCTCAGACGCAGAGCCCTTGGACACACAACTTCCAGACCCACACACCTCAGATACACACCCCTTGGAGACACAACTCCCTCCTACCACAACCTCCGGGACTCACAACCCCACGACACACACCCCTTTAGACACACACCCCACCCTGGAACGCCCAGCAGTACACCCGGACCTCCAAAACCCACCTAGCCCGCAGAAGCCGTTCAGAGGACACCGCAGGAGCCTCAACCCGATATGACACGCACCTGCTCGGCCTGAGCCCTGGGACGCTGGGCGCACGGACCCGCGGCGGCTGCACGAAGATCAGGGGCCCGCGGCCGCAGGTGCCTTGGGAGCGGGCGGCCCTGCCCCCGGGAGCTGATTGGGCGTGACGGGCTTATTTGCATAGAGGGCGTCACCCTGGAGGCGGCGATGGGCGGGCACTTGGGCGTGGCCCCGCCCCGGGAGTTCATGGGCCTGGGACTCAGACGCGAAAGGATGCTGGGGCGCCAGGGGTGGGGGCGCGGATAAGGAAGAAGCAAGACGAAGGGAGGGGTCTGGATCAGACTGGCCAGGCTTTCCCCGCCCTCACTGGGCGCCCTTGACCTTACTGCCGACCCCTGACCCTACTGTGACCCTAACCCTAATTCTAAACCTGTTCCTAACTCGGCCCAACTTGCCTGGATTAATTCCATCCTGAGCGAAATAGAACTCCGATCCCGGACCCCGTCGACCCGAGGAACCAAGCCCTTCTCGCAGGCAACGCTGACCTTCGCGCTCACTAGAATGGAAAGACTGCAAGACGGGGCTCTGGGGTCGCCTGTGTGGCCTCACTCAACTGTGCCTCCCGGGGCCAGATACGTGCCCCCACAGGGAGTGACAGACCCTCCGCAGCTACTGGTCCCTCAACCCCGCTCCGCCTGCCTCTCCACAGTCCAAGACAACCACAATGCTTCCACCAACCGCGCCCCTCTCCCTCCCTCTTCCCGCTAGAGGCTGGTTTCTAAACTTCAAAGGTCAGTTGTGAGGAGCCTTCCAGATTGGACCCCAGCCCAGACCTCTAAATCTACCCCTTCCCCTGGGATTCCATCACAGGCCAGACCCACATGAAGATCAGAGCGGGGGTTGGTGAATGTATCAATGTGAAAAGAATTACAGGATAAAGATGGCTCTGGGCTGGGCACCACCCCCCCCCCCCCCCCGCCCCATCCCGGGTCTGAGGCAGGGAGGGGATCCATGCACTCCCCTAGCCCTGTGGGGTCAGTCTTGGGCCAGAGGGAGGGATGGGAGGCTGGGACAGGCCAGAATTGGGGCAAGGGTTGTGCCAGAGGAGTTAGGGAGGGTTTCTCAGAAGAGGGGGCATTTGTGCTGGGCTTTCAAGTATGTGTAGGAGTTTGCCACTAGGAGAAAGGTTTTTCTTGTGTTTTCCTTCAAGGCAGGATCTCACTCTGTTGCCCAGGCTGGAGTGCAGTGGCATGATCATAGCTCACTGCAGCCTCGACCTCCTGGGCTCAAGCAATCCTCCCAACTCAACCTCCCCAGAAGCTGGAACTACAGGCACGCCACCACCAAGCCCAGCTAATTTTTTTTGTAGAGAGGATGTCTTATTATGTTGCCCAGGCTGGTCCCAAACTCCTGGGCTTAAGAGATCCTTCTTCCTCGGCCTCCCAAAGTGCTGAGATTACAGGTGTGAGCCACTACACCAGACCTGAGAAGGGCTTTTTAAAGAGGGAAAAGCACTTGCAAAAGTGCAGAGGAAGAAGAGCACAGAACATTCTCTGGCCGGGGGAGATGAAGAAGGTGAAGCCAGAACAGGGGGCGGGGGTGAAGAGGAGCGGCAGATACAGGTGGAGAGCAGGGGGGCTGCAAAGCTGCCTGGTGTCCATCTCCTCCAGAGAAGAGAGGGACTGGTCCCCCAAACTCAGGGGGAGGCATGTGGCAGATGCTGGAGTGTGGGGGACACTGAGACAGGGAACAGGGCGCCTGGGAGGCTCGTGTCTCCCCCCACCCCTCAGTTTACCCATCTGTGACATGGGCAGTGTGGGCCTCTAGTCTGAGCACAACTTTTCTTTGGACATAAAAACTATAGAGTTCACACTGTGTTATCAGGGGGTCCTTCCTGTCCCCATCCAGTGCCCAGTGCCACACACTCAGGTGTCCTAAGGACACACCAGGGCCTGGGCCAGGCTGGGGGCTTCTGCCTCCACTCCATGGTGCAGAACAAGGCTTGGGGAGTGTGGCAGTGGCTGGGGAGCCCTGGGCCCCCGGAGGGCTGCTCTGTTTACCCGAGGCCGCCCGCCTGCCTCTGATGCAACAGGCAGGCTCTGGTTACGTGAGGCCGGCAGCTGGGCCAGCTCTGGGGGAAGGGCTAGCCCGGCAGAGCGAAGCTGGCTGGGGCTGGCCCTCATGCACCCCGACTTCCCAGCCCCCTTCTTCTGGTGGGCACCATCTTGTTATTCATAGTCTGTCCCCTGTCCTTTTGCCTCTGTTCCTATCCTACACCGTCCCCAACCACTAATTGTGTCCCCTAGCAGGGCCCCCAAGAGTCTTAACCTCATTCTTCTCAGATGAAGGGACGCCCTTAGCTGCTAGGGTAAGAGCTGGAGAGTAGAGGGGAAGGTTGTGAGGAGGAAGGGATAGAAGGGGCCAGAGTGGGTGGCGAGGGAGAAGGGTGACCTGGGAAGGGGGTCTGGGAGATGGGGGAGGCGGTGGGTGGGGAATGGAGGAGAAGGCTGGGGTGGGAGGCTTGGGGAGGTGAAGAAGCTGTCCCCACTCTCCCTCCTCCAGATTCTCTCCCCTCTCCCAGGGGAAGGCTTTGAAGGACCTTCCGTGGCAAGGATGTATGGCCCAGTGGGTACGGAGGGCCCCCGAGGTTAAAGAACACCGAGTCCCCATCCCAGCTGTGCCACCCACTCACTGTGTGACCTCAGGATGGTCACTGCACCCCTTGGGGCCTCCTTACTCATGTGACAAGTGTGGATAGGCTGGGCGTGGTGGCTCATGCCTATAATCCCAGTATTTTGGGAGGCCAAGGTGGGTGGATCACTTCAGACCAGGAGTTCGAGATGGACCTGGCCAACACGGCAAAACCGCATCTCTCCTAAAAATACAAAAATTAGCCAGGCATGGTGGCACATGCCTGTAATTCCAGCTACTCAGGAGGCTGAGGCAGGAGAATCGCTAGAACCCGGGAGGTGGAGGTTGCAGTGAGCCAAGGGGAGCCCTCAAGGTCCACCTACTATGTTCCCTCCTCCAAAAGCCTTCCTATCCTCTTACCATTTAGGATCCTTCCACCTCCCCATCCTTGCTTCCAGCTTAGCACTGATCCAGAGGGCGGGGTGGAGTGTGTGGCTGGTTCTGTCTCCCCCAGCCTGGGGGTTCCTTAGGCCCGAGCCCAGTACATGGTGGCACCAAAGGGGTGTCTCCATGGGTTTTTCTTTTTGTTTTTTTAGAGACAGAGTTGCTCTGTTGCCCAGGCTGGAGTGCAGTGGTGCAATCATGGCTCACTGCAGCCTTGAACTCCTGGGCTCAAGTGATCCTCTCGATTCTACCTCCCAAGTAGCTGGGACCACAGGAACGCACCACCACACCTGGCTGATTTTTTAATATTTTTTGAGGTGCACCGGGTGTCTCACTTGCTGCCCAGGCTGGTCTCGAACTCCTGGGCTCAAGCGATCCTCCTGCCTTGGCCTCCAAAAGCGCTGGGATTACGGGTGTGAGCCATTGCGCACAGTCTCCATGGGTTTCTTGAAGAACTGGAGAATCTCAAAGAAGGTCTAAGCAGTGAAAGGGAGTGGGGGATAAGCCTGGGGCATCCAGAAGCCTTGTTCAGGGATACAATAGTGCTTTTT